ATTCTTGTATAGTTCATGAACTTTATATATTTTCTTTCAATAGATCGTTCATTTTGTTTGTTTTGTTATTGCAGATTAAGTTTTAGAAGTACTGAAGCTGAAGGCACTCTTGGTTGATTTGGATTGATTCATTAATATAATAGAAATTTTGTATCTTAGATTTTGAATTAAACATTTTAGGAAAAGTATTTGTCATTATGATTCGATGGATTCAATAATACAAGTTCATTTACAATGACAGTAATAGGAGCAAAATAAAAAGTAATAATGATTATGGTGAATGCTATGAAGGCGCTTTAAAAGTGCAGTACTCTTTTGCAGCGCTAAATATAAACCTCAATAGGCTATTGAAAAGCGCTTCATATTTAGCGACGCTTTTATAGTGTTACACCGACGTCAATCATTAGCGTCGTAAGAAGGTCTAGCGACACAAGCAAAGCCAACGCTTTTACAAGCGTCGGTAAAAGTGCTTGTGACGCTTTTTAGCGCCTTTAAAAGTCTATATAAAGCGCGGTAATAGCTCATTTTCCTACTAGTGATGTTTGGGTGAAAGTGCAGAAATGATTCTGGTGTTACAATTTACTCCTGGAATCACTTTTTTTTAGAAGCTGTGGGAGACCAACTTCTGAAAAAATTCTTATTCTGCTTCTGTTATAAAAAAGAAGCAGAAGCAGAATCAATTCCAAACATCCCCTAAATACATAATCAGACTCATCAAGCGTAAACAATTGAACTAGGAACCCTAAGGATTTATTATATATATTTAAAACATAATAAACTTGTCAAAGCATTTGTTCCATAATAAACATGTTAATAATTACTCCGTATATACTTAAAAAATGTTCCATGCATTTAAATAGAAAATAGAAGTAAAATCAAATGAATTTAAAGTATGTGTTTGTCACTAAGCAAAGGATTTACTTTACCCACTCCAATCTAATATTTTGACAGATCAAATCAGTAAGTATATGCATTGCTTTTCTAAAAAAAAAATAAGTATCATCTGCTCAAATCTTTACCATACTGCGTGTGTATCATCACCTAAAATATGGGATGCAAAGTCAAATTCCCTCGTAGAATTCTTGTGAGAGGGCTTCTGTTGCACCTTACTCTTCTGTTGCATCTTCTGTCTGTTAATTTCAAGCTTCTTCATTCTCTTGATTTCAGCCTTGATGGCTGCATCTTTGTCGCTCGTTGTGAACATGAAGATCAACTTGGAATGGTCAACATCAGTTGGGTTTCTGATACCAACTCCTTGGTTTATCAGAAGCTCAGAGATGAGCAAACCATGACCAACTTTCCCTGAGTAGAGGCCTGTCTCAGCATTCTTCTTCTCCTTTGCCACTTTGACAAACTCTATCAGTGATCTAACAATCACCTGACCCCAGTTGATGTTGCCACCATGTAGAACGGCATATTTAATGCTCATTTAATGAGCTCTAGGCTCTGAAGAGTTAAAGTTGATGATTGACCGAGATTCCTGGAAAGTCCATCCCCAAAATAGCAAGCCGCCAAACTTGCGGGCCCAACTGGTCAACTCAACAGTACGTGCATTCAATGCAGTTGTCTCCTTCTCTAACGCGAAGACAACCCCAGTATAAAAGATACATGATGAAGAACAACTGGACAACTTTTGCTCTCTCTACGCCATTCAAAATGTCTTTCTTGAGATTCAAACTCCATCTTCATCAACAAGAAAAGCTTACGTTGGAAAGATCATATTCTCATATAATCTTCATACTCCAACAAGAGCAAAGTTCCTCCAGTTCTTCAACACTTCAAGCACTTCATCTACAAATTCTTTGTGACGAAGCAAGTTGGAGAAAACTCTGTTTTCACAAACATCTTCTGTTAAAGAAGGGCGTCTTAAAGTAACTAGAGTAAGTGAAGTGGTGATACTTTAAGAAGACTCAGTGAAACAAGATCAGTCTTAAAGGAAGCAAAGAAGTGCATCCCAAGAGACATCTACACTTGAAGAAGACGTGGAGAGCTTCTTAAGTGCTAGGACTAAGGCGTTGTAACTGTCACCTTACAAGCTTAGTGGAACAGTGGATTAGAGGAACGCGTTGTTCCTTGAGCCAATATAAAAATCCCTAGTGTCATTTACTTACATCTTTTCATACTTGTAATTATCTTTAAACTGCTTAACTCCACAGAAGTGGTATCTGTGTTCAGCAGAACACCTCTTGTGAGTTAACAGAAGACCTAGTGCCTTTGCTCCTCTGTGAGGCTATCCCGACAGAACACCTACCAGAAGACCATCTGTTGCCAGTCTGTTTTCAACCGAACAGGCTATTCTGTTAAACTTGGTACTTAGTTTGAAAAAGTTAAAAACCATAATAGTCTATTCACCCCCCTCTAGACTATTACTTTGATAACCGGGACCAACACTTATAGCCAAAATTAGATAAAACAGGGGACTGCCAAACATCGAAGTGAATTAATTAGTATGTAAAACATCTTGAAAAGGTAAAGGATGGGACTTGCCCAGTCTACAAGAAGTACATAAATGATGAAAATTACTAGAAGAAAAAATTGAGTTTGTGCGCCGGAGAGAAGACAATATGCTATCACCACAATGGCCTAAGCGCTTGTGCCAAACCGGACCAGGTGCAGAGGAAGTGAAAAGGGCTAGTCGTGGTGTGGAGACGGTATGAGGGTAAATCCGATCCTTACTGGAAGCGTGGAGTAGAGTTGCCCCCGTTTGATTGTCCTTTACAAAGAAAAAAAATTTGTCAAAAATAGCAGTGCAATCATTATCCTCACACAACTTCTGAATAGACATTAAATTAAATTTTAAGTGAGGAACATGATACACATATTTTAAAATAAGCAGGCGACCTAATGAAGGTAAATGCACATTACCAATCGTAGACATGGATAAATTAGTACCATTAGCAACCTGCACATTAGTGGGGCTAATAATAGTGGATTTAGAATGTAAAATACCTTCATTTGGTGTCATATGAGCTGAGGCACAAGAATCTGGATACCAAGTCGCTTCATGAGTCTCACCGGTTGGTAAAGCAGCTAGGGTCGGAGTAGATCCAGAGGTCAGCTTGGAACAAGTTAGAGTAGAGTGACCCGGAGTGAAACATAATTAACAGACAACGGGAGGCGGGGGAGATGCATAAATATGATCAACCGATGGGAAACCTGCACTGTTAGTATGAGTACAACGAGTATAATATGGAGACAAACAAGAATTTACTTAGAGGGATATTACCCATACTTGCACCGGATGCTCCCGGAGTGAAGTGCGCATGAGGTCCTGCAAACTGATGATCAAACCCACGTAGAAAAACCTGCTGTCCAGGGGTCCCGGGGTAGCCATACCCTCTGCCACGTCCCCGGTGACCCCGCTGTGTGCGCTGCCCGCGACCGCCGCCGCGGCGTCCTCGCGGTGGTGCACCCCCTCAGCCATAAAACTGATTCTGTAGGCGAGAAGACTGACCAGAAGGCTGGCCGGTGGCATGAAATGCTTGGTGCTGTGGTGAAGAGGCATCTGCTCCATGCATATATTGGAGTAGTTGCTCCTGAAGAACCAAGATAGGTTCCAGTTGGTCAAACGTGAAATTGGGAGGTATATAAGCCACCCACCAAGCATTGATTCAAAATCTGGATCAAGACCAAGGAGAGCATACTCAATGAGATCCTTGTCAGTAAGAGGAGAGTTAATCGTTGCCAGGGAGTCCGCGACAACCTTAATTTGTCGGAGATATTGCTCCATGGTCGGATTCTTCTTCTTTTTGTTACGAGAAAGTTGCCGCTTAAGTTCCATAGAGCGAGCAATACTGGCAGACATAAACTTATTTCGAAGACGATCCCAAATTTGATGAGAAAATTTAAGATGATGTACATCAATTAAAATGTCCCGAGAAAGAGTGACGAAAAGCCATGAACGGACAGTTTGGTCTATTTTCAACCAATGTTAATAATCAGTGTTAACAGTCTCTCTACGAGAAGCATCCAAAATATACAGAGAAGGAATAGATATAGTACCGTCCAACATACCCAATAAACTATGAGAAACAAAAAAGGATTCAAACTGTGTTTTCCCTGGCAAATAATCCTCAACGGAAGTTAACCGAGTAGTGACAATATTTGTGACATTTGAGGTGGAGAATGTCAATTGAGATGCCATAGTAGAGAGATAGGAAGGAGTGTTACCAAATCCTGGAAGAGTTCGTGGCTGCAGCAATGAAGAAGGGCCTGAGTCAGGCTGTCCGACAAGCATGGAATCTGAGACGACACACTGGTGACGAGCGGATCCAGGCTTGATCGCGCAAAGGGGGGAGGCACTAAGGATTCAGGCTGCCACGTGAAGGGCTCCGACATTTGAAAGAGAGAGTAAGCAGAGACTTGCGGACTTGCTGCACTTAAAATCGTGGACGCTGGAATTGGAGTCTGCTCCTGCGTGAAGGACATCACAGGGCGACTGAAGGAGGGCTGCTCCGGCTGAGATATAGCGGGTGCTTGAGACATACTGGTGAAGGACTGTGAAGCAGCAATCGAAGAAGCAGTAGATGCATGTTGAACGCCTAACATGTCGAACAAGGCAGAAGCTTCTGTCGAGAACGTGGATACATCGATAGTAGCGGAAGTCATTAGGGTTAGACGTATAGAACCTTAGCAACTGATACCATATGAGAATTATGAGGGAATGACTTACCCTAGAGGTAGCTGTATGTGTATATACATATAATAATACAAGAATAAGTGATTACAAAAGTATCTCTACACTATTATCTATTAGTTATGTCTTTGAAATGATGAATTTGGGTGTATAAAATGTGTATATTAATGTCTACTCATCAAATATCGACATGTATTGTTATTAGAATATGGATTTCTCCACTTCCCAATCGTGTGTCATTAGCGAGGAAACTTATTTGAGGAAGATTGTAGTGGTTTCTCGTGACACATATTTGCTTGGGATGCTTAAGTTGTAATTGCACAAATTACTCCGAACCTTTATTTGCAAGTGAAAGTGAAATATCCCTTCACCGGGATGATACATGCTTATGAAAGTGAAATATCCCTGCACGGGGAATAGTTTTAAGCCCTAACATATCTAAATAGTTTTAATCCATCATCATTTCCTTAATTCGGGAAAAAAAACTCTACCTTCTTCTATACTCAACTATTCTAGAGGCACCTGAAAGAAATCATGCGAACTGTGTTTTGCAAATTTAGCTGATTAAGTTGCGTGTACTCATCTTCTCTCGCCACTTGACAGAATTCTCAGAATTTGACAGACTCGACCAATTTATCCTCCTCTGGTGTTGTCGATTTTTCACTGTCTCGATTTCTTTCTCCCTCTGAAGTATTGTAGAATCCAATCGCATACACAAGCTGCACAAGTTTTGTTGATAAAGAGAATCCTTCTTTCCCCTTTTATGCACAATTTTGCAGGTCTTGCCCAGCTGCTTAATGGTAACATGAAACTCCCCTCTTCCGAGTGTGTTTCATTTGCTTTTTATTATTATTTTAATGAATACATGATATGATTATCTTCGTCGGATAGTTGTGAATTTGTAAGTTCGGTCTATTTTAAAGACCGAGAACGGTTGATCTATAAGACAGGGATAGTCACCTGGAATAGAACTAAGTACCTCCGTCTCTGTTTGATCTTCTTGTTTCATAATTAAAAGTTAATTGTTCACCTACAATTTTTGGATTAGTATTAATTATTAAAACTTATATATTAACTAGTTACATTGAAACTCCTATTGAAGTGCAAAAACCGAATTCATTGTAAAACCAGAGCATAAGAAAATATCTCAGTTGATTGTAGGAATGATGAACAAGAAGATTAAATAGGGATGGAAGAGGTATCATTTTTATGCTGCTGGGTAGTCCAGTAGTCGCCGCTATAAGTGGATAGTGGTCCTCCTTGAAAGTTAAAGTAAGAAGAAGCCATGAAACTTGCTTGGTAAAAATCGCCACAAAATGCTACCACCAACCGCTTGCCACCACCAAAGATACTGCTAACAGTAATTTTTTTTAAAGTTATTAATGACTCCATAAACATTCCTAAATTACTTTTTACTGACAAAATGGCATATTAGGTCTCTAAAACAAAGATTAAGTAAGTCCTATTTTAGGAATAAAACACAGCTGGTCTCCTATTTTAGTCTTTAGGTAGCCTTTTTTAGGATACTAGTTTAGCTAATAGATTGGATTTAGTCTTTCCGTTGATTTTGTGCCATTGTATCTTATGTCCGGGTTAAAAGATCAATGGTGAAGTATCGGTTTTCTAGGTTTTCGAAAAAACAAACTTGTGGAATAAGCAGAATACGGAAATTGTAGAAGTGTTTGTTTTATTACTCGTATATGGATTTTAGGCTAAAGATTTGATGTGGGAAATTTTCTTACAATTACTTTTCATTTTAAAGTGATGCTTCTCCCAACGTTTCTCATTCCTTTCATTTCTTTACACAGTACTCATGCTTCAGCTAACTTGTTAAATCCTATCTGTCTGAATCAGATTGGTTACTTCTATGATGGAATTGTTTTCCCTTCATTCAGCGCCATGCTCTACTGCTATAAATGTTAGAAGTGAAATGATCGATATGCATCCAAGTTTTACTCAATTAAGGATTCCCACAACTCCAGGGGAAAGTTTCTGTTATTCTGTAATAAAACCTCTCCGTTTGAGATGCTCATCTTTAGATAGATCAAAGAAACACCGTATGTGTCTATGTAGTGGAAACTGCGATTCATATGTCGTTGATGGCATCACCATGACTACAAATACTGGAGAGGCAGCACCTAAGATTTTTATCCCTGGTTTACCGGATGAGTCCAAGGGTGATTATGCAGCTTCAATTAGCAGTTCTTTCTGGGAATGGAAGCCGGAACTGAATGTTTATTATGAGAAATCTGGGTCTGAAAATGTAAATTCTACGCCAGTGCTCTTTCTTCCAGGATTCGGTGTTGGTTCTTTTCATTACAGAAAACAACTCAAGGATCTTGGTTGCGAATTTAGAGTTTGGGCATTAGATTTTTTAGGGCAGGGTAGGTCGTTGCCAAACAAAGACATGACTTTGCAGTTGAACAGTGTTGTTGATTCATCAAATTCTGTTGGAGATGATCTTATATGGGGTTTTGGAGATGAAGCTCAACCTTGGGCAGAAGGGCTGGTTTATTCTATGGATCTATGGAGAGACCAAGTTCGTTACTTTATTGAAGAGGTACTTGCAAACTTTTTTCTTGCGTATCAAATCACAAAGCATATAACCCATAGAGTTTGGGCTATTTATTTTTGCCTTTTTTTATCTCGACTTTATTGTGGAGTTCTATATTATTTATTGGGATGCTAAGTCATTTCACACATACTAAATACAAAGATACAAATTCACATTTGAAGCAGTCCAGCTGGTAGCAGACTCACTCTCACATACGGGAGGTCTCGAGTTTGAAATTCCATGGAGGGAGTTTCAGACCTGCTTACCCGTCCCCCAGCCCCTCCCCTGACCCGTCGGGGTAAAAAACAAATTCACATTTAAACTTAACTTATGTGCTAATCTTATGGAGTAGACTTTTTAGGATATAGTTCCAAAGTCGACGGTCGGAGAGCCGGTTAAGCTCATATAAGCAATCAATCCAATTATGACTCTAAAAAGTACATTGTTCTCCACAGTTTTATTTTCTAATGAACCGCCACCTTGCAGGGCATTTACTCGTCCCACATCAGTCAAATACAAAGACACAGAATCTCACATTAACTTTGAACTATTCATCTAACCAAATTTATCTTGTAGGATGAAGCCCTAATCATTAATAAGCAATGTTATTTTGACTGGTTTTGCTTTTAAATTTAGGATTATTAGCTTATTATATCCCAAACTATTATCAAATTCCCAAATCTATTATGTTCTTTAATTTTTATCAAAAAAAGACTCAAACTTTATCTTTTTCACCAATTATGTTTTTCTGTTTTGTTTTTTCAAAATTACACTTTTGTCAATATCAATACTTTTTACATACTAGTATTAAATTTCATATTTTTTTGTTAAATAAATGTTTAATTCTATTTATTCTTCATGAATTAGCAAGAACTCAAAGAAAATCTAAAAAATTAATTTTGAATACTAATCTATAACTGAAAATGGGAACAAAGTGCAAGATATCAGTGATTTGACCATACCATATTGTATGATAAATCGTGATTTTGTGAGAAGAATCCAAACAACGGAAGTTAAGGAGGCTCTGAGGAAGATGGGCGGAAGAGAGCAGTGGGACCAGATGGCATACCGATCGAGGCTTGGAGAAGTTTGAGAGAGAGAGGCGTCGAGTGGTTAACAAGTTTCTTCAACATGATTTGGAGAAACAACAAGATGCCAACGAGTTGGAGGAAGAGTACTCTTATCCCCTTATTCAAGAATAAAGGTGATGTACAAGAATGGGCCAGAGGGATTAAGCTTATGAGTCACACCATGAAACTTTGGGAGCGAGTGATTGAGCAAAGACTTCGAAGAACTGTGAAGATTTCAGAGAATCAATTCGGTTTTATGCCTGGTCGCTCAACAACTGAGGCCATTCACCTTCTTCGACAGCTTATGGAGAAGTATAGAGACGCTCACAAGGATTTGACTTAGAAAAGGCTTATGATAGGGTACCTCAAGAAGTTCTTTGGTGGGCCTTAACTAGAAAAGGCATATCACGCAAGTATATCAACATCATCATGGATATGTATGAGGATTGTACTACAAGTGTTCGTACTAATGTAGGGAGGACTGCGTAGTTCCCTATTACTATCAGAGTGCACCAAGGATCGGCTCTGAGCCCTTTCTTATTTGCCATAGTCATGGATGAACTTACGAAGTCAATTCAAGACGAAATACCGTGCTGCATGATGTTTGTTGACGATATTGTATTGATTGATGAAAGCAATCAGGTCTTAAAGCAAAGTTGGAAGTATGGCGACAAACATTGGAGAACAAGGGTTTCAGACTAAGTTGGAGCAAGACAGAGTACATGAAGTGCAAGTTTGGTGGAGGTAGAAACAGTGATAATAGTGGAATTACTTTAGATGGTAAGGAGATACCAGTCAGTGATATATTCTGTTACTTGGGCTCCATAATTCAGAAGGATGGTGAGCTAGATCGAGATGTATCCCATAGAATCAGAACATGGTGGATGAAGTGGAAGAGTGTGTCAGGATTTCTGTGTGATAGAGGTATGCCGACCAGACTGAAGGGTAAATTTTATAGGACAACAATTAGGCCTACATTGCTGTATGGCGTAGAGTGTTGGGCGGTGAAACAATGTCACATCCAAAAGATGAGTGTTGCAGCGATGCACATGTTGCGTTGGATATGTGGGCATACTAGGAAGGACCACGTGAGAATTGAGACAATCAGACAAAGGGTGGGAGTAGCACCTATTGAAGACAAGACGCGGGAGTCTCGCCTATGGTGGTTTGGTCATGTGCGTAGAAGACCGAATGATGCACCTGTCAGACGTGTTGAGATGTGTGGAGAAGAGGCAGGGAAGAGAGGGAGATAAAGACCCAAACAAACAGACGTGGGTTAGGGCAGTCCGAAGTGATATGCTTCTTCTTGGGTTGGATGAGGGTATGACTTTGGAGAGAGCAAAGTGGAGGGCGGGTGTTCGTGGAGGAGTGATCTCGTATTATTATTATTTCCCCTCATCTTTTTTCTTCTTGTTTTTTATTCTTTTATCCTTATATATATAAACATTATTTTTATCCTTTTTATTTTATCATTTTTAAGTATATTCATCCCGTTTTATATTATCTTTTTTATAATAGCTTATTTTTTATCTTTATTTTCTTTCTTTTCCTTTTGGTGGTGTTATCATGTATCGATTCATGTTAGCCGACCCCAATATTTTTTAAGACCAAGGCTTGGATATTGTGGTTGTTGAATCTATAATTGAAAAATATCTAACAAAATCTCAAAACTAATATAAAATGATAATCCAATTAAGCCGTGAATTAAGTAGCTAATATATTAATGTGTTTATAGAAGTTGCTAAAGTAGATTAAACACTAATAAATAACTAATATTTATTTAATATGTACTCCCGTCCCTAAACGTTCTTCCAATTGCGGGTTACGAAGTTTGACCAACGATAAAGTTAAATGATCCCCGTGAAAACTCAAATAATTTTTAGTAAATAAAATTTACATATTCAGAAACTACATTAAAACCACTACAAAGCCTCCAAAAAATAATTCAATTTTCATAAAATTTTGATATACTTCGTATAAAGTAAGAGTTTAAGAGTGATTTAAGTTGACTCTCGAAAAGCGAAATGGAACTTCTTTTAGGGACGAAGGGAGTAGTATGATTTATTTTTTTCCTTGAAAATTTTGAACTATTTCTATATAGTTGTATCTTTTCCATCATTTGCAATGGAGCCAAAGATTCATTATTTTTTGGCTTGAGAATATGATGGAATAAAGCAAAATGGCTCACTAAACTGTCTGCGCTTCTTTGTTATGAAGCAACAGTCAGTCTCCATGCAATTTTGGACGCGATTTTCACTATGGGTCATCCGGAAACAATCTCTCTGCGCTTTAATACAGGGGTAAGACTGCGTACATCCGATCCCCCCTTACCCCACCGTAGGTGGGAGCCTTTGCGGCACTGGGGTAAATGAAAATGAAATAAATGATTTCTATATAGTTGTATCACTTGTATGTGAAAACTTCACCAAAAGTTGTCTAGGGCGCTTAAGCATTTCCTCTGTATTTTTTCCATTTCCTATGAATTTCAAAAATCTTTACTGATAATTTTATAATATTTTGACAATAGATATAGCTTACATAATTATTAAATGTTATGGTTTTTGTAGTAAAATTCTCAAAAATAAAATAATTAATAGATTTGTGCTTTTTAGTCTCTAAAATTGTTCATGTACATTCTAAAAAGTTTATATACTTTTAAAAATTATTTTTTGTTGTGGGAATATCATAGTTAATTTTATAGAAAATACTTATTAATCAATGTCAAAACAAAACGGAAAAAATAAGTTGGATTAGGAACAAATTTAGTTCGGGCCAGTGGCTAACTGCATAGTCAGCCGCCTAGCTCGTTTAGGCGGCTAACCGATTTTTTCCACCAAATACCACGAAATTGGAGGGCCCGGCCACCGCCTAGCGACTAGGCGGCGTCTAGGCCGATTTTTAAAACCATGAGTATTACTAATTCATTCATTGAAAGTATAATTGTGAGAAAAGTTGAAGTATGGGTCATTTTAAATAAAAGTGAAAGAATACGATTGATTTGTGAATTTGAATTTGATGATAGTTGGGATATATGTAGTTGATAAAGTGAATGGGGTCGGGACACAATCTTACTCTATATCTAAATAGTTCAAGTCGTTTTTCAACAATGCAGGTTATTAAAGAGCCAGTTTATGTTGTGGGAAATTCGCTAGGGGGGTTTGTTGCACTTTACTTTGCAGCATGCTACCCTGAATTGGTAAAAGGTGTTACATTGCTAAATGCGGCACCTTTTTGGTGTTTTCTGCCTAATCCTATTAAATCTCCAAAACTGTCGAGAATATTTCCATGGACTGGGACGTTTCCTCTTCCAATGTCTATTAGAAATGTCATGAAGCTTTTGTAAGTATTATATTTTGATTCATTTCATTGCCTTCTCATGTTTTCTTTTCTCTGTGTTGATTTTGTCTCGGTATCTTTATTCAATAATGGAGTGGTGATCATTGGACACGCCATAGCTATAGATGAAATGAAACTCTGTAATTGAATTTTTACAGTTACTAGGAGAAATTTCTGTTCTTAGATTCTGGTATTGACTTGAACTATTTTTCTACTGATTATTTAGATGGCAGAAAATTAGTGATCCTGAAAGTGTAGCAGAGATTCTTAAGCAGGTTTATGCAGACCACTCTATAGACGTGGATGAGGTGTTTTCAAATATAATTGAAACAACAAAGCATCCTGCTGCAGCTGCATCCTTAGCTTCGATGATGTTCGCTCCTGGGAGTCAACTATCATTTGGAGAAGCTCTCTCTCGGTATGTAGTGCAAGTAATTACGTTACTATTTACCTTTCATATGATTCCTTCAAAATAAATGTTAATTCTCTCTCACTCATGAGGATCCATGGGGAACTCGGGATACGCTAGGAAAAGAAAACAGGGCAGAATAGACGGTAAATTTGGAAGGAAAAAATATTACGTAGTATTAGAAAAAGGAGGCAAACTCAAAAAAACATATGATTTTTTTTAGAAGTTCTATTCAAATTTGATTTGCTTAAAGTTAGGGGGACGGGGGTAGTATTCCACATTTTTTACTTAAAGTTCGAGGTCAAAGCAAATAAAAAAAAAATCATGAACACTTTTTCCTTTCCCTAGCATTTTCCACATTCCAACCATACTCTAAACGTCTGCTCGTGTACTATTATAGGTGTCAAGAAAACAAGCTGCCCTTATGTCTAGTTTATGGGAAGGAAGATCCATGGGTGACTCCATTCTGGGGGTTTCGCATTAAGGGGAAAATGCCTGAAGCTGCATATTATGAGATTAGCCCTGCAGGCCACTGCCCCCATGATGAAGTCCCTGAGGTATTACTCTCATTAGGTTATTACATTCCATCATCACCTTTCTTGATTAATAAATTAAATAGAAGGAAAGCCTCTAAATTTGCTTCGTGCATATGCACCAGGTTGTGAATTTTCTTTTGAAAGGATGGATTAGAAGCCTGGAATCTAAGGGTTCAGTGGCATTGCCTCTGCTGGATAACCCAGAGTGTGCTGCCTTTGACACTTCCAGGGAGGTGGAGTTTATTCGAGGAGGACACAAGAAGGCGGTCAATGTACAATTCTATGGATCAACAGCTTCACCGTGGGAGAGGTTTCGTTCGTATGTTGATTCGCTGTTCAAGATTAATGTCCCGAAGCTCCTGGGAAGAGCATAGAAGTTCTTGATTCATGTAGTTTTAGTGGTTGGAAATGCACAGGGGATACACATATATAGTATACAGTCTGTAAGCTAGCACTGTTGTAAAGCTGGAAGTGCCATTTCATTCTTATATTCGGTAAAATAAGAAGAGTTTCAGTTTAGGTACGTACATATAGGGGGCGTTCTGGTGTACAAAGTCTTCCCACATAGTGAGGGTTCACCACAGAACGACCATTGCAATTTGCAAGTATTATTAGCAAACAACTTATGTATGCCAGTGGAAGTAAGATGTTTCAAGCATTCCATTTCCTTGTAACTTTCCCTATTGTCCATCAGTAGAGATGATCGGGAAAGGAAATGGCCAGGAACCCAGGGTTGTTCAATCAGGGGCGGACCTATAGTATATTGAGGGTTAGCACAGGCTACACCTCAAAAGTTGTTATTTGCCTAAGTGGTAGAGCAATCCCTTAAAAGGATCCTAGATGCTACACGTCCCTTGTTCGATTCTCTTCAAAGTGCATCACTTCGATTTTTTTTAACACCCTTAATTCCTACATTGTAGGCCTAGTTATGGATGGACCCGGGCCGGTTCGGGCCCGGTTCGGGCCTAGGCCCGGCCGGGCCTCGGGTCTGTTTTGTTGGGCCCGAGCCCGAACCGGTGGCCACCGGTTCCGGGTCCGGTTCCGGGCCGGGCCGGTCGGGCCACCCGGTTTAATTTTTTTTTTTTTTCCTTTCTTCCCCCACCCCCCCACCCCCCCACCCCCCCCAAACCCCCCCAAACCCCCCCAAACCGGCCTAAACAGATAGCCCAAGCCCAACAGCCCAAAACAAATGAAAAAAATTAAAAAAAAAATAGATTTGGCCCGGACCCGGGCCCGAACCGGCCGGGCCGGGCCGTCAAAACCATGAACCGAGCCCGGAACCGCCCCACCCCCGGGCCTCCGGCCCGAACCGGACCCGGACCCGGATAACCGGGCCGGGCCGGGCCCGCACAGTAGCGGGTCGGGCCGGTCCCGGGCCGGGCGGCCCGAACCGAGGCCATGCCTAGGCCTAGTTAAGCCCAAATATTTGAATTTAATTTTGAATCCCTCCAAGTCCAGCAGAGCATTGAGCATCCCCCCGGCCTTTTGCTTTGTCCTCCATCCAATTTCAACCTTTTAAGCTATTTTTAAGTAATTGGGCATGAGTCCTCTTTTTTCTCTACATCAGTATTTTTAGCAAACTTGAATGTGTTTTTCTCCATATTATTTTTCTCTCTATTGAATCACGAAGTGAATACGAATCATGTAGGACTTTTTAAATTTCGTCTTTCACTACTATTAATCCATCATTTAGATATCTTTTGTATTGTATACATCCTGATGTACGGAGTATAATGTTTTTGTACATATACTTTTTATAATATAATCAGTTTTTATTTTATAAATAATTTCTAATAAAAATTTATAGAAGGTCAAAGTTTAATTTCATTAACCAAAAGATTCAAATATGATAAAGTTTTAAGAGACGGAGGAAAAGTCGTGGTGTAATAATAATGAAGTTGGTTCGTGTTGTTGGTGTAATGTAGCGTCGTAATTTTTTTTAACTGCTACATACTATATATATGTGCATACCCTGAACTCCAATGCCTGGATCCACCATTGTGTTCAAAGGGTTTGAATCTAGAAACAAAAGTTCTCTGAGGGCACTAAATCCCTTTAGAGGGCCACTAAAAGTTTACCTCGTCATTATCTTCAGGCTCCGTGTCAAAATGGTACGGGCACTCATTGACTCATGTAGTCATGCCATAAAAAGGGAATGCTTATTTGAGGTAATGATGGACTCGGGTCGGGCCACCCGGCCCGGAACCGTACTGCTTGGGCCCGGCCCGGCCCGGAACCCGGTCATAGGACCGGTCCTGGCCACTCGAACCGGGATTAAAAGGGGGCGGGTTCAGGCCTCCTAAAAGTGGAACCGGCCTGGTCGGGGCCGTCGAGCCGGGCCTATTTTTTTTTTTTCAATTCTTTTGGTATCTCCCGGGTTAAGTTGGGTGTTTTAGAGTGTTTTGGGGGGTGGGGGGTGAAGGGTGAGGGGGGTCGGTTCCGGTTCTCCCTTCCCAAAAAAAAGCCCGGCTGGGCCCAAGCCTGAACCGGCCCGGCCCGGGTCCATCACTAATTTGAGGTGAAAATATGATCCCACCGTAAAAATGAAAATTATGATGGTCTGGGCTCGGTCTGCACTATTTTGAACATAATACTCCATTACTCCGTATTCATTAATGAGAAAATTTCACTCGTAGGAAGAAAATATAATCCATTTTTCAAATAGGATCATTTTTTGTTTTTTGTTTTTGGATGGCTATAAGTACTACAAATCAGTATAGTTTGGCATTTACTTTAACTATGACTTATTTTAAACGTTTTAACTGCTTTTATTTTTTCTTATTTTATTACAGCCTGTTTTAGTCCTCAATCCTCATTTGGAAAATAAACACATATCCTATTTGTGAACTTACTGGCAATTCCTTTTAATTAAAATAGATAACTCGACACGTCCATCCTAACATTTATTTAGCTCATAAATTGAACGTCTGTCAAGAATTACAGCAGAAGTACTTGTATGAATTAAAAAACATAAGAAAGAAGTAGTCGTGGGTTTTCTATTTACCATTTTGATGGTGAATAAAAAATATAATCAGCAGCAACCATGTGTGAACTGTATATATTCCAACCTCTTTAAAACTGAAAACACTAAAAGGGAAGGAGACAGAAATTGCGCTAAAAGCTAAAAAAAAGCTGATGACAAAAGAAACGCCCTGATGGTTACAAATCATGCAAACAAACCTTAAACCGACCATTTAGAAAAGTTTAAAAGAAAACTACTCTAGATCATATTTGAGGCTGGAGCACATCACTTCTACCTGAAGCTTTGCCTCGTTTTGATCATTCGCTTCAGCGTTGCTAGCCAAAAGTCGCACTCGTCCCAATCACTGGTGGTTAGTTGCACCTATTCAAGTATAAATTGACAATAATGGTTTCAGATTCAAACTGGACCAACTCAAAGGAAGGACAAATCGAACAGATAGGTACCTGAATCTGAAGGGCAGTACCAAAGTCACGGTTGTCCAATGCTCGACAGAGCTGTACAAGCTTTTCTGCAGCACTCGTAGATATATCTTTTCTGTTGAGCTTAGCAAATAACGCCCCTAACCTCTTCGAATTATCTTCAATCTCACGTTTCTTAGCTGGATTTGCCCTTGACCCTCCCAATGCTTCAGATGTCTCATTGAAGAGTCTTGTCAAAGTTGTAACAACAGCCTTATGCTCCACTGTAGCACAAAACCCACACAATCAACTATTAGCATTGAGTAAAGACGATTAAAGAGAACCAGAGCTTGGGCGTGAAGTATCAAAAAAACCCAACTAGTTAACTTGGTGAAAGAAAAGAAAGCAATTAATAAATCACCGAGCGTTGTAAATTAATTTAACAACAAAAAAGATGTTCCAAGGGTAAGTCTACTGGTAATATTTTAGGGAAAAGTGGCATGAAAGCATACCAGGGACATTAGAAGTGTCGACTGTCTGCACTGTGGGTGGAGCAGCAGCAGGAGCTACTGGATGGATTACTGGTGCTTGATTAGGGCTTGGAGGTTGCATTGGACTCATACTGGGCCTTTGAATTGCAGGGCCAGGGACTGGAGTAAATCCTCTAGAGCTTGAGGAAGAAGGTGCAATGACCGGGGGCATCTTCTGTCCAAAAGTTTGTGCTGGAGATGGGTTAAAGCCATATGCCGCAGGCCCTGGAGGGCCAGATGGGTAACTACTTTGACCCGAGCCCTGAAACCACATGCAAAGAAAGCGTCTTACAGAACAGAAATCATGTTTAACTTCTTATAATTTTGAAAAAATAAATTCCAGTGAATAATGATTTAACAAAATAGGGCATCAAATTATACAGGATACAACTGGGAACCCAAAGTTGGCTGCTGATATTGCTCAACATGTTTCAAAGCAGGGGGGGTTGTTGGGCTGAATGGTTTCACAGAAGGCTGAGCATAAACAGGTGGTGGTGCAACACTGCCCTGAAAGTAAAAAAGTATAAACTTTACTTTCATTCAAACGTAAGAATAACACAAGGGAAGTCATGCAAAAATGCAAACAAGAAAATGAAATTTAACAACTCTTAGGAAAAAGTTATGATAAAAATGGACTCAGTGCACCAATACACCCCTTTGAATAGCGTATTTCCGCACTTCTATTTCTACATACATCTATTCTGATTCTTATTTGTCTCTTCAAATCTCCGGTGGATTCTAAAAGTTTTTTTTTCATGTCTCTTCAGAGCAGCTTTCACTTAAGAATGCTTAGAACAACATCCACGCCATATTCCGAAAAGATTTTGGGATCGGCTAACATAAATCAATCCATGATATCAGAGCCAAAAAGAGAAGAAAGATAAGATAAATAATAAGATAAAGTAAGATAAAAATGGATAAAATAAAGATAAATATAAGATAAAAATAACATAAGAACATAAGAAAGATAAAAGATGAAAAGAGAAAAAGAACATAAGAAAGATAAAGGATAACAATAACATAAGAACATAGAAAGATAAAGAAGATAAAAGATAAAAGGGGGGAGAAAGAGAGAGAGAAGAGAGATCAATCGTCCACACAAATATGCGCACTCCACTTTGCTTTCTCCAAAGCCATACTCTCATCCAACCCAAGAAGAAGCATATAAGTTTGAATTCCTCTAATCCAAGTCTGTTTGGGTCTTCCTCTCTTCCTTCCCGCCTCTTCTCCCCACCTCTCTATGGTTTGCTTATTCACAAATAATTATTTTCAAATCATGCAATAAGCTGTCCACAAATTGGGCCATAAGTCCATAATGTTATAAACACCTGTGGGATGTGAGGAGCAGGTGTCGGAACAAATATGTTCGGTTGTTGGATTGTTTGTGGTGGAGCATTTTGGTAAGGGGCAGGAGCAACATATCCCTTGTATGAAGGACCAGGAGCGGGTTGATAACTCCCAGCATAAGGGCTGCTAGGAATACTTGTGTGTTGCGATGGTGGTTCCTGATCAGGAAGAGAATGCATTAGTGGAAGTAATCATGACATGATATCAAGGAATGAGCCACCACAGCATGACAATATCTCTTACTGGGTAATACTGGTAAGACGGATCAACCATGCCAGAACTACCAAAATCCATAGAATTCAATGAGCCATTATCTGCAGGAAAAAAAAGAATTAGGGAATATGCTATTTGTACCTCTAAATTGCAGGTAGTCAAATAAACAGAGGTAGGATATATATCATGCAAATGTAATTTCAGAAAATAACTTGAAGTTATGATGGAAAATTACAAAGTATTCAAATAAGCTTTAAACCTGGTTCAGTAGCAAGAGAGATTCGCTCTCGTAATATTACCAGTTCTGGGGACAGTTCTTCAGTCCCCAGAAGTTTTAAGAACTCCATAGCTGTAGCTAGAAGACCCTGACTTGTTAATATTTCAACATACTTCTCAACAAGCTTGT